AGCTCACCAGTTACGCTCATTATAAGTCGAGTGAGTCGCCAGCTTCCGAGCCTAATCCATCAGGTTAGGGACCTCGCACGACGTCCATGAAATTATTGTAGAAAAGAAGAAAGGCGCATTTACGGAACCCGCCTACGCCATAAGCAAAACCACAAAGGCACAAGTATATCACTTACGTGTAAAATTCCATTCTTCGGGAAATGGCAAAAACTCTAAAGGGATAATATTGACAGTTCGTACTCGGATGAATTGGCTCATCCATCCCCGATCCCCGTTTTCTTCATCATCTACAACGAAAGGCGTGATGTATCGGCATCATAGGGTCAGCAGACCCCGATGGTGAAAAGGCCGATACAACCTGATGAGATGACTAAGAGTGAATTCAAGCCCTGCTTCTTCTGCACAGAACCTCATCATCAACACTATCCTCCAAAATGACGGGTGAACCTACGCCAAGTTAACCTGGTACTTTCGACAGAAGTTGAGCACAACCCTATCAGAGGGGGGGCAGCATAAAGGGGTACGTGTACACGTTTAAAAACCCCTCGGCATGATCCATGATGCTCTCTTTCGGGGAAGGTACCCGCAGTACTACCCTTTCCCCCCATCCGCAATCTTTCCTTACTGACTCAAGGTGCCCCTCTCCTAGTAAAGAAATAAACTTCGAGGCATACTCCCAATGACTCCGAGCATTTTGGTTCAAAAAGCCTTCAAGGGCGGAACTCCCCTCTCCTTGCCAAGCGGACCCTGGTGTAGCAGACATAACTGTGGTAAAACTAGGGAATTGGAGCGAGAATTCGAGCAAGGGCTTCAAAGTTGAAATGGTGAAAGGCCTAACGCAGGAAAGAAAATCTCTATAGATGAGGATAACTACTCGGAATAACGGAATCCTCAAAAGAAGGAATACAGCCCTATATGTGAAGAAAGCAGCGACTATCCGCCTGCCTTAAAAGGCCAATTAAATATGCTGACTAAGCCATTTTTTGCTTTTTGAAGATGTACCAGGGGAATTACCCTAGTCGCTTCATAAACATGTCATGCAATTGACGTTGCCTACGATATTTCGGGGATCAAAAACCCCCGCATCATTACAAGCCTCGAGATGGTACCCAATGTCAAGGACCTCTATCAAGAAGAAGATAGGCTTTAAGAAGCCATTGATATCATTACAAGCCTCTAGAAGGTACCCGATCTCGAGGACCTCTATCAAGAAGAAGATAGGCTATAAGAAGCCATTGACATCATTATAAGCTTTGAGATAGTACCCAATCTCGAGGACCTCTGTCAAGAAGAAGATAGGCTCTAAGAAGCCATTGACGTCATTACAAGCCTCGAGATGGTACCCGATCTCGAGGACCTCTGTCAAAAAGAAGATAGGCTCTAAGAAGACATTGACATCATTACAAGCCTTGGGATGGTACCCGATCTCCAGGACCTCGATCAAGAAGAAGATAGGCTCTAAAGAGCCATTGGTGTCATTACAAGACTCGAGATGGTACCCGATCTCGAGGACCTCTGTCAAAAAGAAGATAAGCTCTAAAAAATTACTCATATGGGCTTGACCTCGAGGTGGTACCCTAACTCGAGGATTTCTGCTATTGTAAGTACGGGTCATTCACCCGACCCTCCGGACCTCGAGCTACCTGAGTCCTCGGGTCAAGTTAAAACCGTCCTCTCGATTACCTTAACCTAGGGACCATCTAAATCCGGGTGAGTCCTCATCTGGGATCTATCTACAATGCCTTAAGGCTATCTTCACTCTGAGTTCAAAACAAGTTTCCAGGTCGCCCGAGCTTGAGCGAACTCTCACTCAGGGACTGCCCTTGAAAGCCTAAAGGTTATCTTTATTCTCAGACGTCCAAGCAAGTTCCCCTTCGAGGACTACCACCAGGGCCTAAAAGGCTAAGTTTCGTTCTAAAATTTTTGAAGCTTTATTCTCACTCAACCCAAAATCGGGGGCCCCGACGGCCCGAGTTTATCCAATTCGGGATCGGTTCAAAGAACGATAGAGGGTTCCATAGGGAATCATGTTAATCAATCAAGAGCCAGAGAAATACTTACACCTGGGCTCGGTATTCGTACCGATCGGTAGAGTCATACATTCAGATTCTTCACAAACGCAGATAAAGGGAAATATAGCATAAATTAGAGACAAATTGAAGAAACATCTTTGTATCCATAAACGCTGATTACAAAAAGCCCGTGAAAGGACCTTACACATGATTACAAAAGTCCACGAAGGGTCCTTACACAGAAATAGAGAAGCTAAAGTAACAAATAAAGATCTAATCTACTCTCGTGGGCATATCCTCGGGAGCAATGCCTTCGAGAACCGTCTTCTTCGGGGATTCATCTAGGCCTTCCCAACAGCGTCTTCAAGGACGAGGAAGAGGCAGTAAAATGATGCAGAAAAAGATGAAGAAAAAGTCGTGGCCCGCCAAAGAGCCAAAGCTTTTACCAGGCCAAGAAAATCACGACCCAATAGAAGACTTGGCGAGCATCGGCCTTACCTGCATGACTACTTTGAGTCCACTTCTTGGAACATTGTGCCGTTCAAGTTAGTGGCCGGTAGTGCCACTTCACCCCACAGAAAGCAAAAGGGATGATGTCCCACACCAGGTCATAGTAGGGAGGTGAGCAGCAGTGTAAAGTCCGAACATCTTCCTGAGCAGTGGTGCAGAGTCCAAATATCATCCTGAGTTGTAAGAAATCAGCACCTGTATCTCATCGCCTCGAGCCAATGACGACAGCAGTAACAACAACAACAACAACAGAAACAACAAGTTAGTTCAATCCCGCTCGAAAAAGACAGCTTTGAGAAAAAGCCATTGCGTAGCTGGTGAAAAGGCTGTCGCATGGCCCTACGACCATAGGCGTTAAACATGAGAAATAAAATTGGAGGGGGGCGATGAGAAGAAAGGAGTTAAAAAATGGTGAAGAATGATTGAGCAAAGTTTTGATTCAAGAAAGCTTCCATTTATAGAGAGAGGGCAGCACAACCAACATGCGCAATCAATATTTTTGGGTGACGGATCGGCAACAACATTATTACTTTGAAAAAATAAACTAATGGCGTAATGAGTGTTCATAGGAAAACGTATTGATGGGACGTCTCAGTTATCACAAAAGATGATGTCATATGCGTGACATCATCACAAGAGGCTCGAAGAGATCGGTGTCAGAGCTGTTTCTTATCATTTTTATCTAAGAAACGAGGGGACTATATGTATACGATAAAATCAGAGGGACCAATTTTTGGTCATTACGATGTTTCATAAGCATGTTTCCAAAGCCTCGGGACGGACTTCGATATCCATGCCCAGGGGTTTATTGACAACGACCTCGGGGCAATATGAATCGATAGTCATGGTAAGAAAGTGGGCAGTCCCCAAGGCACACGACTAGAGCTGACCTAGTCTATTTGGCTAGTTCAAGTCCGTACTATAGCATTAAATAGTTGTACTAACCATATATCTTGGTAATAAAAGCATTTATACTATGTTGGAATTCCCCCTCATATATAAAGGGGATCCTTGTTATTTGATGTTCAATATTGAATACACAAGAACATTCTCTCTACTCTCTAACATTTTCTCTTGATCCCATTACTTGCATTTATTGCTTATATTCATTGTGTTCTGTTTATTGTTCTTCATTTATTGCTCATAAAAGGCTTCCATCAAAGCTATCATAACTGTTAACCCCTCCTCGATTGCTCCTAGCCGAGCATCCGACTCGACCTCGAGGCCCGTATACGCCAGCTCAAGGCCCCGATTTCCAGCCCTTCGGTTTGGTCATTATACTATCTACAAGCTCTTATCTCATTTTCTAATATCTTGCATAACATCTATTGCCTAAAGAACTAACATAAAAATAGATCACGTATTATTAGAATCACAAAATCAAATCTAATTGTAATTACCATTTTCAAGGTAAACATACCTTAACTACTAGGTGGCGACTCTACACTCTAAATAATCTTCTAGAGTAAAGTACTATATGTTGTTTTGACTTGTGCAAAATAGGGTGCAACACAATATGTTTACCATAATTGGGTTTTCCTATTCTTAGAAGGAAATATATATCTCTCATATTTAGCTAGTCACTTTCTTGGATGAAAATATTTGAACTTCTATAAATTGAGGATTCTTCCTTCTCATTCACTATCATCCATATTATAGCCATAAGGGGTTCGAGAGTCTTGTTTGGGGGGAGAACTTTTCGGGATAAATGTTAGTGTGTTATTTGTGTTTGCCTCTTCGTAAGGTTGTCCTCTCAATATTTTGTACTCTCTTTTATATTGTGAATTGCTCATCTCCATTTGTGGACGTAAGCCAATTGATCGAACTGCGTTAAATTTTTGAGTCTCTTTTGGTATATTTCTGTTCTGCTGTCTGATTTATTGTTGTTCAAGTGTTACTTTACTAGCTTCCGCATGATACCAGATTATTTCAATTCTAACATCAACTTGTAATAATTTAATTTGCCAACTGCAAGTAATATAAAAGGGATATATGACAGATAACTTGGGTATTGGGTGGTTTTTCTCTCATTTTTGTTTTTCCTTTTCCCGTCGTCTTATTTTTTTTATTATACCTTTTGTCTCAATTTATGTGATTAGTTTGAATTTCGAAAATTAAATTTCTTAATTTTAATCGTAAAATAAGACATAAAATATTTAAAGTAAATAAAACTTATATATTTGAAAACTACAAGTATTATAATTTATAGTAATTAACAATCCAAAATATATAAAAGACAAATAAAAGAGTTACAGTAAGAAAAAAGACTCTTAATAATTCAAACCGCATTTAATTAATTAGAATAACGGAAATATTATTTAAAATGTGTAGGTTGTCATACATTGACAAGTCGGTAGTTGGAAATGAAACTCTGTCAAAACCTAAAAATTCTTTTTTTTCTATGGTAAGACTTTGGACTCTCGCATTTATTGTCACTTTCGAAAAGATCTTCCATATTAATTCAGAATAAAACACCGATAGCCCGGCCAGGCCCGGCCCGCTCCATTTTACAATCGGGAAGTAGCAGAAGAAGCCTATTCTAATTTTCCATAATAAGATGCAAGAAAAAAGGGCTAAAATTTTGAAAAAGAAGCTCTGTGCCTCACTAAATACCAACTCTACAATCCACCTATAAGGTCCCATCTTTGATCTATTCCGAACCAACTCAGCCATCCAAAACTTGTTCTTTTGTCTTTATGTTTTTAGACTCTTCCCTCCTTGTCAGTTGCGGGTCCCTTCTTTTCCCTGTATTTGTATACTAGTAGTAGTATCTGATAACTCTCTTTCTCATTGCCAGCCAACTCTCTTCCCCATTCCCATCTCAAAACAAAAAGCTTGCACCTTTCTAGACTCCTTTTTAATCCACAAGAAAAAACTTGCCATTTTTCAGAAGAGCCCATCAACCGAGTCCTTTGAAAAGAGTAGAATATACCTTTAATCTCTCTTGATTTCTCATTGGTTCCCTTCTGTTTCCAAGATTTACCAAACCCATCGTTTCCTCTAAAAAACAAAAATCACTCGTAATCCAAGTAGAGATTATCAATATAGGAAGAAGTTGATATTTTTTCTTTTCTTGGGATCCATTACTGAGCAAGCCTCTCATTCTAAACCACCCAACTTCCTCTAGTAGTAGAGAGATAAGAATAGGTATACACACATTTTGATTGAGGGATGAGAGAATTGTGGACAACGCTGGCATCAATGATGGGGGTATGGGCTTTCAGTCAAAGCCTCCTTCAAACAGTTTTCCCAGCAGAAGTCCGTTTTGCGTCCCTCAAATTCATCCATCGCATCTGCAACTGGTTCTCTGCCTATTGCTACTATGACATAACGGAGATCGACGGCGTTAATACGAATGAGCTTTACAACGCCGTTCAACTCTACCTGAGCAGCTCTGCCTCCATCACCGGGAATCGCCTCAGTCTCACAAGGGGACTCAATTCCAGCAGCATCACTTTTGGGCTGTCCAATAACGATTCCCTCATTGACACATTCAATGGTGTTAAAGTCCTGTGGGAACACGTGGTCATCCCAAGGCAGGCCCAGACATTTTCATGGCGTCCGCTCCCAGAAGAGAAAAGGGGTTTCCTCCTACGTGCCAAGAAGAAAGACAAAGCAGTGGTGTTGGGCTCTTATCTGGATTTTGTCATGGAAAAGGCAAATGAAATTAGGAGGAAAAACCAAGATCGGTTGCTGTACACGAATTCACGTGGGGGTTCACTTGATTCCAGAGGCCATCCTTGGGAGTCGGTACCCTTTAAACATCCCAGTACTTTTGATACACTTGCTATGGATCCTCACAAAAAGGCTGAGATTATGGCAGATCTTTTGGATTTTGCGAATGGAGAATCTTTTTATCAGACAACTGGGAGGGCTTGGAAAAGGGGTTACCTTCTTTACGGACCACCAGGGACAGGCAAGTCTAGCATGATTGCTGCCATGGCCAATTTTCTTGGTTATGATATTTATGATCTTGAATTAACCGAGGTCCACACTAACTCCGAGCTCAGGAAGTTGTTGATGAAGACGAGTTCTAAATCTATCATTGTCATTGAGGATATTGATTGCTCTATCAATTTGACTAACAGGAAAAATAATAGCACCCATTCATTCTCACCTCCAGGAGCAGGAGCAGGAGCAGGGAGCAATGAAGACGGTGGGAATACTATAACTCTTTCTGGTTTGTTAAATTTTACTGATGGTTTGTGGTCATGTTGTGGCACTGAGAGGATATTTGTGTTCACAACTAATCACATTGAGAAGCTTGATCCTGCACTGTTGAGGAGTGGGAGAATGGACATGCACATTCACATGAGTTATTGCTCTTTTGCCGCACTCAAGATTCTCTTGAAGAATTACTTGGGATACGACGATGATGATGTGGAGAAGCAACTTCTTGAGCAATTAGAGCAAGTAATTGAAAAAGCTGAAATGACACCTGCTGATATAAGTGAGGTGTTAATCAAGAATAGGAGGAATAAAAACAAGGCTGTTTGGGAATTGCTAGAAGCTTTGAGGACAAGGGCTGAGAGGAATGATGCTGTAAAATCAAGTGCGGACGATGAAGAGCAAGAGAAAAGGGCATTAGAGAGTCCTAAAGAAGCAAAGTGTGACGAGGAAAAAGAATCATCAGGATGACAAGGTACATTAGTAAGTGATATTACAAGGGTTAAAAAAATACTATTAAAATTTTGCTTCTTTAAATCTTTGTGGAGGGAAAGAAGAGACAATAAAATTTGCTATTCATGACACATTTTTTTTAGTGAATGGGCTTGAAAGAAAGGTGGGGATTGAGGGGTTCAAATAGGCAAAACATGAATTGACTGTAAGACAAAGGCATTGTTCTACTATTGCTTGGTTTAGTTTAAGTCTATTTTGAAACATACAAAAAATAATGGAACCAAAGTATGATTTGTCGATTTACATGTGGTGTGTTTTGTTATGTTAGTTCATTTTTGTCGCCCTGGAAATGGCTACATTAGCATATGAGTTTCATATTTCAAAATAATGCTTGAATAATAATGTGATAATGATCCTTCGGTTCGGTGTGCAGCTCGTTAATATTTAAATTTTGTTAGCTGGCTGGGATTTGAGTGAACCCTTCAAGCACATGGGGCTGATGTACTTTCTGATTGGGAATTTGGAACTTAAGATTACCAAAATCTTTTATTTTTCTTTCAATCATTTTGAAAAGGACATGTTTCTTTTTGAGTTGGCTATGAAAGTTACTCCCTCCATCCAAAACAGTCAGCGTTTTACAATAATAATATATTTATAATACAAAATTGTCTTAAAATGTTATATTTGAAAAATTCGTCAACGAGAGTACCGTTATACTTACTAAAATGACTATCCATTCAATCAAATTAAAATGTTTTTTCATTTTCATTGTTGAAAAGTTACAGATATGTATTGTATAAAGCAAAAGGGATTAACATGTCAGTTTCATGTTTTTCGATAATAGAATAAGGTATTTCCTATTCCCTACATTTTTAATTTATATGAGCCTATTCACGTTTAAAAAGAAATGAAGTTCTTTAAAACTTATGGTTCTAAACAAGTTATAACATTTTTGTGTGACTACAATTCTTTTGAAACTTATAGTGTTAAGCATGACAGAGTATTTGTGTGGCTATAAAAGTTTCTCATTGAGGCTAGAATTGAAAGTTTAAGTTTAGTTGTTTTCATTAGAAAATAGTCACTTTTTTTGGAACGGACCAAATAGAAATAGATTCACGTAAACTGGAAGAGAGAGATTAAAGTTATAACTTATAAATAATCATTACTTAGTGAAAGATCAAAATGTAACTGCTAAATCTAGGGGCAGATTCATGGGTCGGGTTCACGTGAACTCATGCTCTCCTCCCTAAATAAATTATACAACACTATTACGTTCTTAGTTTCTTCTTATATTTCTACATGTCATTCCAAGGTCAACTAGTACTTTGGTGTAGCGGTGGTTGAGTGCATTGTTGCTTTGCCAGGTTAAGTGGTAGATCCTTTGGTGCTGTCTTTTTAAAAATAAAATTTACGCTTTTTAAACTTACTAGTTTTAGGATACGCTTTTTACGCTTTTTAAACTTACTAGTTTTAGGATACGCTTGTTGTGCGTGTATTCTATTTCAATGAATATAAATTTTAAAAGATTATATAAATAATCTATTAAAACTTGTGTTAGAGTTATAAAATTAAAATTAATAAAAGTGTAAGTTTCTAAACAATATTGATCCTAATTAGCTAACTTTCAACGAAAGAAGAAACTCTTAAGACAAAAATATAATTATGCTATTTCTATAATCAATAAGAAATGTCATATGAATTATTTCCAACATATTAGAAAAGACTAAATTACTATTGCAAAAGATATTATTCAATTGCCATATTTTTTTATTAATCTACTCTTTCTTTGTTTTGGAGTGAGGTTTCTTTCTTCGTTCAAGCACATAACCAAATGCATGTGAATATTTTCTTTTGTGGAAGTAAGAGTTAAATTATAATGGAATTGCTTACTGCTAAAGGATTCTAAAAGGACTATATTAATCTATGAGCGAAAAATATAGAGCTTATGTTAAAAAAATTCCTATGCTTTGCACGAAATTAGTTACACCCCTAAACAAATTATATTCTTAGTTATCCCCGAAGTTGGCTATTTTATAGTTGTTACTCCTGGACATTGACGTGGTAATGTGCATGGATATATATACTCCTTTAGGCATATGAAGAAAAATTTAAAATTAACTTTAAGGTGCAACATTTAATTTTTCAATCATTAATATAATTGTTTATTTGTTAGAATATAATTGTGTATTTGTTCTTGCTTCATCTTAATATACAATGCATACTTTATCTAACTTTGTATTTTAATTTCTTTTTTTTTTTTAAATGTAATGGCTATTTGATCCAATTGTATGGTATTTTATTTTTTGGGGCTAAATTTGTAAAAACTTAGCTGGAGTTTTGCCATAAATAAAAATAGTTTTAGCTAAAATAATAAATTAGTAATTGTGTATTATTTTTATTATTTTTTGTTAGATGCAAATGACTATTTGAATTGTTTATTTTATTTTCGGGTCAAATCCAGAAAAAAAATTGGCAAGAGCTTTATTATTTTATTGCTTAATTTAAAAGATATAGCCAAAATAACAGAGTTGCCATTGTTTTCAAAAATCCATAACATCTTTGAAATGCTTAAAGCCACCTACTACGTTGTTTAAGTAAATAGAACAATTACATCCAGACATCTCTATAGCAACCTTCTTATAAACAAAACATCACTATAAAAGCTAAGCTTTTCCGGAACCAATTTTTATGTTATGTTGTAATATATGTTATTTATAATAGCACTTCACTATAACATTCAAAAATATTCGGAACAAACAAAGTTGTTATAGAGAGGTTTGACTATATTATAGTATATTTTTTATTTCTTTGACAGGCACACATATTCTTCCTTAATTTTTCCAAAAAAAAAAAAAAAAAAATTCAAAACTTGAATAACAATTCGTATTGTGTGGCGAAAGACTTTTAGAGTCATTTAATGACTATTGTTTCAGAAGTTTCGAAAAACTTAAGTAATAATTCTTACAAAAAAAAGATAATTCAAATAAGAAAACAATTTATATTTATATATAAGTGATATCTCATTTTATGTGAACCTATTTCCTTTTTGGTCCGTTCCAAAAAGAATGGCCTCTTTCTAAATTTAGAAACAATTTAGCTTAAACTTTCAATTCTAGCCTTAGTGAGAAGCTTTTATAACCACACAAATACTTTGGACCCATTTCTGACTTGTTTAGGACCAAAAATTCTAATTTTTATTTTTATTTTTTCTCAAATTTCGTGCCCAGTCAAATAGGTTCACATAAATTGGAATGGAAGGAGTAAGAGTTTTTACCTAATTCAAATAAGAAAAGATTTAATAGTCAAAATTTAAATTAATTTAAAAAGCATACATATTAAAAAAATAATCAAATGACTATCCAGTG